ATCCTCCTCCTCCCATAGCCGATCTCTCTCCCCCTTCTCCTCCCCCTCTCCTCCTTCCCCATCGCCATCATCTTCTTCTTCTTCCTCCTCCTCCTCCTCCACCTGTACCCGACAAACATACATAACCGTCGTAACGATTCCAAGGCCATATTAAAAAAAAAAAAAACAAAAAAAAAACTGGTGTGGCGATGGAAGAGGAGGAAGAGGATCTTGTTCCTCCTCCTCCTCTCCTCCTTCCCCATCGCCATCTTCAAGTTCTTCCACCTCCTCCTCCTCCTTCTCCTCCATTCGCGATCTTTTTCCTCCTCGTCCTCCCGATCGTGATCTTCCTCCTCCTGATCCTCCTCCTAGTCCTCCTACCCATCGCGATCTTGTTCCTCCCTCTCCTCCTTCTCCCCCTCCTCCCTTCGTCGACAAACATTCGTAACGATTCCAACCCCCCCCCCAAAAAAAAAAGGTGACCTGGCGATGGAAGAGGAGGAAGAAGACCCTCCCCAGCGAACTGCTATGTATGTTTGTCGGGTATGGGAGGAGGAGGAGGAGGAGGAACAAGATCGGGATGGGAAGGACGAGGAGGAGGAGGAGGATGAGGAGGAAGAAGATCGCAATCTTCTTCCTCCTCCTCCTCCTCCTCCTCCTCCTCCTTCCCATCCCGATCTTGTTCCTCTTCCTCCTCCTCCTCCACCCATAGCCGACAAACATACGGGACCGTCATTACGATCCCAAAGTCGTATTAAAAAAATAAAATAAAAAAATCTGATGTGGCGATGGAAGACGAGGAAGAAGATCGCGATTGGAAAGAGGAGGAGGAGGAGGAGAGGGAGGATGGCAATGGGGAGTAGGAGGAGGATGGCGATGGGGAGAGGAGGACGAAGACGATGACGCCGGGGAGGGTCGTGTTACTCCTCCCCCCCCCCCCCCCCCCTTCCCGCCCATCGGCATTTTCCTCCTCCTCCCCATCGCTATCCTCCTCCTCCTCCTTCTCCTTCCTCCTCCTCCTCCTCCTCCTCCTTCCTCCTCCTCCTCCTCCCCATCGTCGTCTCCTGCCTCCTCCTCCTCCTCCTCCTTCCTCCTCTCCTCCTTCTCCTCCCATAGCCGATCTTTCTCCCCCTTCTCCTCCTCCTCCTCCTCCTCCTCTTCCTCCTCCCCATGGCCATTTACCTCCACCTCCTCGTCCTCCTCCTCTCCTCCTTCCCCATCGCCATCTTCTTCCTCCTCCTACTCCTCCCCCTCCTCCCCATCGCCATCTTCTGCCTCCTCCTCCTCCTCCTCCTTCCTCCTCTCCTCCTTCCCCATCGCCATTTTCTTCCTCCTTCTCCTTCTCCTCCCATAGCCAATCGTTCTCCCCCTTCTCCTCCTCCTCCACCTCCTCCTCCTCCTCCTCCTCCTCCTCCTCCTCCTCCTCCAATCGCGATATTTTTCCTCGTCGTCGTCGTCGTCCTCCTCCTCCTCCTACTCCTCCCCATCGCCGTCTTCTGCCTCCCCCTCCTCCTCCTCCCCATCGCCGTCTTCTTCCTCCTCCTCCTTCTCCTCCCATAGCCAATCTTTCTCCCCCTTCTCCACCTCCTCCTCCTCGTCCTCCTCCTCCTCCTCCCGTCGCGATCTTTTTCTTCCTTCTCCTCCTCGCCCTCTTCCTCCTCCTCCTTCTCATCCCATAGCCGATCGTTCTCCTCCTTCTCCTCCTCCTCCTCCTCCTCCTCCTCCCCATCGCCGTCTTCTGCCTCCTCCTCCTCCTCCTCCTCCTCCTTCCTCCTCTCCTCCTTTCACATCGCCATCTTCTTCCTCCTCCTCCTTCTCCTCCCAAAGCCGATATACTCCATAGCCGATATTCTCCCCCTTCCCCACCTCCTCCTCCTCGTCCTCCTCCTCCTCCTCCTCCTCCTCCTCCCGTCGCGATCTTTTTCCTCCCCCTCCTCCTCGCCCTCTTCCTCCTTGTCCTCCCCATCGTTGTGATCCTCCTCGTCCTCGTCCTCGTCCTTATCAAGCAGAAAAAAAAAAAAAAAAAAAAAGCTGACGTGACGGGGGAAGGGGATGAAGTCACAACGGGGAGAAGAAGGAAATCAACGATGGGACGGAGGAGGAAGTCAGCGATGGGAAGGGGAGGAAGAGGGAGATCGGGAGGAGGAGGTGGAAGAGAAAGATCGGATCATCATCGTCGGAGGAGGAGGTTGGTGATGGGGAGGGGAGGAAGTCAGCGATGGGGAGGGAATGACGTCAGCTATGGGTAGGGGAGGAAGAGGGAGATCGGGAGGAGGAGGTGGAAGAGAAAGATCGGAGGAGGAGGAG